GGTTTGTCTGCTGTGTTACATACCAGAAGTGGTATATTCCAGGAAACAGACCCTCCAAGAAGAAAATCTACAATTGTTTCCCTGTCTTGATTAGATTTAAATGAGGTAAAAGCATTGACAATGGGTAATAAAATCCTGACAATCCATGGTTTTCAAGGCCTAGACAGATTCTTAAATTATTATAGTTGCCTAAATTGAAGAATTGGCTTTGGGAAAAATAAATGACTATTTCAATATTACAACACAGGAGAATAGAGAATTAAAAAATCTGCAACAAGAATAGTTATTTCTGCAACAAGAATAGACTGGAGAGATTACAAAAAGAGTACAGTAATCTCAGTGCTGCAGGTATTGGTAGGGAATCAGAGATGGTCTCTAACTATGCTAAAAGATGTTGTGAATCCTTTAGCCTTAGAATCAATATAACTTAAGAGCAAACTAAGGTTGAAGTTCTGAGTGGTAAAATCAGAACTCCAGCAAACTTTACGGCTTTACTAGGTCTCTTATGTGAAAATTAGGACATTGATTGAGAAAGTGTGGGACATGAAGAAGTAGAATGGAAACCTTTAAAGTCTAAATTCCACTGTTTTCCTTGCCTTCAAAAACAGCTCTGGTCTCTGAAAAAGTCAGTTGCTCTTATTTAAGTCCCCTGTAATGACATCATCAAGGGCGAAGCCGGTTCTCCTCCCGACCAACCTCTAACCACCCCAATGTAGTCAGACCCATAAACAGAATCAGTTTCAGCAGATTTCAGGCACACAGGTAGAAATCCTGACCTTAGTAAGGACAACAGACATGCAGAAAATCACTGAGAAACTTCAAAAAGTAAGTTCTCAGAAAATGTCATTGAAAATAACTATAGTTTAATAACAAACATGTAAATTACCCAGAGCAAAATATGAAAGTGTAACAAAATATAAAGTGTCACAAAATAGGAAAAGTAACTAAAAAGCAAAGGAAATATAAGTTGTTTCTTAATACTGGCAAAAGAAACATATTACCAGCAAAAATTCTCAGTAATAATAAATGCTGATTTGGTTGGACTAGATATAGTGCTATAGTTGACCATTAAAATAATGTGGGGTTTAGGGACACCAACTCCCTCAGAGTCAAAATCCATTGTAACCTTTGACTCCCCCAAAACTTAGTCAGCCCTCAGTAACTATGGGGGTGGTTCCAGGACCCCCATGGATACCAAAATCTGTGGATGCTCAAGTCCACTATATATGGCATAGGTCAATGCATACAGTCAACACTCCACATCTGTGGACTGCCAACCATGGATCAAAATGGTACAGGTATTTTTTTAAATCTGTATATAAAAGGGACTCCCACATTTCAAACTCCTGTTGTTCAAGGGTCAAATATATATATATATATATATCCATATAGTTTTAATATTCAGATGATTAACTTATCATTCAAGAACAGGGAATCACTCAGATTTGCACATCTAAGTTACAAATTTTTTAATCAAATTAAAATACTTTCCATAATTAAAGTATCAAATCTAAATTATCTAACTAGTAAAATGTATCAAATAAATCTTAAATTCAGAGAATCTAAAAGGTGGGAAAAATATTAAAGAGTATTTTGTCCAATTCTTGCACTTTGTAACTATAAAGTCAGAGACCAAGATAGGTTTGAATTACTTGTAGAAAGCCTGCATTAATTAGAAACAGAAATTAGAAAGAAAAAAAAAGAAACAGAAATTAGAGTTACTTGTCCCTACTCATTCCATTGCCTCTTACCACCCAAAATATGCCTGTTATTATTTTGGGAAATGGATTATTTAGATAGTAGATATGTGCAGTTTACAAAAAATGTAAACATTTCTATGTTTTAAAAACATATTATTTACAAGTGGCATACAAAATCAGTTTCAAGCTTTGTAGGTTCTACACCTTACTTCCAATTTAAACATCAAAACACAAACTAATTTACTAATGGTAGCCAGTATAACACTTTTATGTATGTATACACTATTTAAAAAATGTTTTGAGGTAATTTATTTTTAAAAACTCCACAAGACTGAATGATTTAAGCATCAGACAAAATTCAAGAAGCAAGGGGAATTAGACAAAAATGTATCAAGAAGACCAGACTAAAGAAAATTGTGGTTATTCAGTATAAAACTGTTTTTTAGACTTACTTATAGCTGACCCAATGGATTATGTGGCTATTAGGAGCAAAACATTTTTCAAAAAGTCTCTGAGTCCCTTCCTACTGAGAAATATATGTGTGATCTGAAAATTAAAATATATTTTCCAATATAAAATTATTACAAAAGTTAGAAAAATATAGTTTAATCTATACGCAGATACTTTGGAGATTAAATATGAGCATGTGAACTGACCTGAAAAGCTACTACTTCTGTATATCATTTTTATTATATTTAATATATAAAATATTACATTTATTATTTATTATTTATATTTATTATGCAGGATGTCCCCAAAATTGTATACACACTTTGAATGATTATGAAGTCAGTGTTTATTAACATACAGTTCATTTTCAAAATGAAGTGAGATATCAGCTATTAGAGTGTGTATGCATTTTGGGGATACCCTATATATTTATTATTTATCATAAATAATTTTTCTGTGTTTGCATTAGTAAAAAAAATCTGCCTTGTTCCCAAAAGAACATGAGTCAAAAGCATACAAAACTTGTAAGATAACACAAAGGTTAGGAGAAAATAACACACCATTATTATTGTTCCTGTGTGAAGTACGAGTGCTAAGGACCAAGTACAAAGAAGAAAGAAGAAGATAAAGAAGAGGAAGAAGAAGGAGGAGGACAAGAAGGACAAGGATGGATAATAATAAAGGGAAGGAAAGAAGGAGGAAGAAAGAGAAAAAAATATAATAAGGCATAATATTTGGAATCGCTTACACCTGTAAATCTAACCTGGGTCTGTTTGCAAATATAAACTTCCATTTGTCAACACAGAAACAGCCATGGTTAATGTAAAGACAATTAATAGATTTTCCAGCAGAGGTAAGCACTGACAGTCCAGATTAGCTCTTTCAACAAGACTATAAAACCAAGACTCCCTAGAGACTTGTGGATGGGAAATATATTAATATCAACTCTGTGACCACTCAGCACCATGACATAAAGTGTCTGTTCAGGAGGTCATTTCCAAAATGTATCCCGTACATCTTCATGCACAAGAGATGATAATTTATCACCTAGACATAGGGATCCACTGTAAACTAATCCAACTGCTGATGATGCACTAAATCCGCTTGAGTGACGAGCATAAATAAAGCTGCGAGGAAGTACTGAAGGGTACAGATCCACCTGACCAATGAGATGTCACAAGGCGAATGAAATGCAATGTTGACAAGCATAGAGTCCCTCCGTTGAAAATTAACCAAATCAAGTGTCAGAGCATAAAGGTACACATTAACACAAGCTTCAAATGAGAGTTTAATACATGGGAGTCAGAGGGCAAATAGTCTGTTTCAGATAAAACTGAACAGACTGGGTCACTAGGATGGGGTGAACTAAAAACTGATGTATTTTGCATACCATAGAAAGCAAGACAGGATAAAGAATAATGCTGCAAGACAATAATCCTTTCCAAATAATATAACTATAGTTATTCAATCTACCAAACAAATCTATACACACAGATGAGGAGAAACAATAAAAATTGTATACAGAAAATGATTTCACATCAACTTGCTACCAGGAAATCCAATTTGATTTATGTTGCCTTAAAAAAGCTTAGATATTTTCTGGAACTGTCATGCTACAACTTCAATGGGGAAAAACAAAGGAGTGGGGATAAGGAAGGGCATTTGTCCAGAAAGTTTATATTCATAGAAGGCACTCCTTGAGAAAAAGGATTTTCTAACTATGTGATTAGAATAGAGACTTTAGCACCCGGTCAGTAGCTTCAGTGGAACTCAGCTATTCTAAAGGTGCCCCTAATAGAAAGAGCTGATTAAAGTAAATTTCAACCTCTGCTGGAGCAAATCTGTAAAAATATTTTCTAAGGAAAATTATTCTTCAAGAAATGTATACTTTTTTCTTTGTTGTGTAAAGTATATGTAGCTTTGTCATAATTTGTTTAACTCTTGCCTTGTATTTTTCTTTTTTTAGTTTATTTTGGGTAAAGATAGAATTAGACTACTAAAATATGACCTGATCCCATATGTAGTTTATTTAAATTTCAAAATGAAAAGCTTACTAAGAACAGATAAGATTGATTGCTCTCTCTGTCTTGGCATAATTGTATTTCAGGTGAACATCAATTTACTTTAAAGGACACTTCTAAGTAGCAGAATGCATCATAAATAATTCATCAATCACAGCTGCTAGGAACATGATTTACTTCAATAGAAGCAGTGGAATAAAAGTTACATTTTTCTATGTTTGTGTTTGCTTTTAAGAGTTAAGAATCTTTCTTTTCTAAGAATCCACTGTTAGATTCCGTACTTCATAGTCCAAATGCAGTAAGATAAAATGGTTTATTTTTGCCCTTTATTTAAAATATTGTATTTTCTAATTTAAAGACATTTAAATAACTTTGGAACAAATAGCAATCTACACATGTCAACAATAAAATAACATAAAAGGCACATATTTGAAAAATGAAATTAAGATTTTCTCAAATACATATTTTGTAAGGCTAACCTAGTTTGTTTTCACTGTATATAAAATTTTAAATGGAAGAAAAGGGAAACAGACTCAAAAATCTTTTGTAGATTATTTAGGATCTGATATATTTGAAAATTACTTCAATTTTAAAATGTGTAGTAAAGAGATTCTAAATGGTATAACAGTTTGAGTTTTATCGGTTGGTATAGTGAGTATCTTACCTCTTTCATTTGTAATATGGGAAGATACTGCTTACCTTACTCATCCTAACGGTTTCCATCAAATTCAGCAATTTTGTATTGGCAATTTTTCAAGCTGTGAGAAATCTTTAAAATAAATATGAGGACAGGAAAAAGATAAGAGAAAATAAAAAGCTTTTTACTTACTTGCAAACCCCTCTGAAATACTGAATGGCCCATAAAATTTGCCAGCATTCTAATTAAAGCAGCACCCTGTGGGGAAAAAGGTATTTAAAAAAAAAAGAAAAAAAAAGAATTTCAACCAAGTAACATTATTCTAAAAGTATCCTATATTAAACAAATATAGTTTCACTCACTCATGCTACTTTATTCTTAACAATAGTTAAGAAATAAGAAAATCATGAATACAGTATTCCTCTAATTGGTAACAATTGCATTTTTTGCTTTGTGAATCACAGGTCAATGAATGACTTCAAAATAGAAATCTTCTGGACAGAATATCTCAGGGCAATAATAAGCTGTAATTCAGGCATAATAAAAACTGTATTAAGCACAATGTATGACAGAGTTAATAAAACATGATTCTTTGGTACTTACAAGTTCATAATCCAGTAAGGGAGAATGCCCATGTTAATAAATAATCATATTAAAATATAGCATTCAAGTAACATAGCTACTTACTCTAACCCTGGCTCAAGCAAGAATAGTTTAGCTATAGAAGTAGAGAGCAGACATACCAAGCAATCAGATTGTTTGGTTTCAACTCCTGGCTCTGACACCTACTTGCCATATTAACTCAGGAAAAAAAAATATTTAACCTCTATGTTCCTCACTTTTCTCACTTGTAAAGTGTAGGCAATAACAGTCCCAATTTAATATGGCTGTTTTGAGCTTAAATGAATTAATATCTTAAGGCATTTAAAACATGGTCTGAAAAATAGTAACCATGATATGAGTGTTAGCTATCAGTATTTTATTAAACTAATTATTCTTATTTCCTGTCTATTTCTTTTAGAGGCTGGCTGTAGCCATATATCCATATGCAAGTAAAACATGCCATCACTATAAATATTTAGAGTAATACAGGAAAATACTAATTTAAGAATCTACTTCACCTTGAGAACAATTACTAAATATTACAGAACATGTAATCAATATGAAACATTCCAAGTAATGAGGGTTAAGCCTGGATGACCAAAAATTTGTTTGCAAAATATAAATAAGCTTTCAAGAGAATATTTCAATCTGCACAAAATTGTTCTTAACTATGGCATGGTGGATTATAAGCAGCAAAGGTTTAAATATATTAAAAAAGCCTGGTTTTAGGGGGGAAATCCTTTTATGACTTATACATCGAATGCATAGGCATTACAAATTCACTCTCCAGTAACTCATTCTTACCAGGTGTCTCATTTTTTTTTAATAAGAGCATCATATCAACCATATATAGCCTCATCTGTCCAGGCATTTCCATTGTTACTAAAAGTGTTTTCTAGAATTCTGGGATTTTAATGCAATACAATACTCAGGCTCCATAAATCATCATTAAAGAAATATTATAAAAATTTTCAGTCATCACCAAAATTGCTCCCAAAATTAATATTCACAACTCAATAAGATAAGCTGGCCAAGCCATAGAGTTCCGTGCCTCTTCTGATAGATGTTTCTCCCACATCTTGTACTCTTTGCTCTTTCTCTTGCTTCTTCCTATCTTCTGTATACTTGCATAGGTCCCTAAGATATAAGCATCTATCATTCAGTCTGGGGACCAAATCAGAATTCCCTTTAGAACTTGTCAGCTCTGCCTCTGGAATTTCCTTCATGAGCTCCCCAATGTAATAAAACATACCCACCCCAACGGGGGAACAATCAATTCTACAGCAAAACCACTTGAGGAGTGAGACTCTGGCACTCAAGCAGTCATCTCAAACTTTCCTTCAGAGAAGAACAGCCATCTTCGGATGATTTAGGTATTTCCCTCCAGGTAATGATGACTTGGTCTCTTGTCGAGCTATAAAAACTATCAATTTAGCATGGGCTAATGGCAACAGAATCCTTTCTAATCATAAAGAATGTACCCGTTTTCCTGTCTCGGTTCAGCTGGAGCAGAGTGCTAACAGGAAATAAAACCTAGAAATATATTCAACATATAAAAGCTATATATCGCTGAACCCTCTATTATTATTATCCTGTGTAATTTAATTACTTTTTAAAAATATGCTTGTGTTGCCCAGTCGAACATTTTAAATTCTCCAGAGTACTTTGCACTCTTCTGTATTTAACTGGCCTTTTCTTTTCAAAGCTACATTTTAAAAATTCTTATTTCATAACACTTCATAGCCAGATGGGCTCTCCAACTGTCATCTTGTAGCCAACATGCATGGCACCAACTATGTGTGGCTTATAACAAGGATCACACCTCTTAACGCAGGATAACTCATTGCAAATATTAAATACCCCTCCCCCCCACACACACACACTGAATCCCAAACATTTTTCACCAAGTATATATTATTTACAACGGTAACATACTCACTTATGATTCAAAATCCCAGCCCCAATCAAACAAACTTGGTACCAGGCAGCCTGAATAGCTTTATGAGAATAAATAGGTGATTTCTACAAGATTTCTATAATTTTGAGACTTGCTCAAGAAAACCCATCATTATATTTACTATACTAAGGTTCAGGGAGATATCAGGATGGAAACTACTACCTAAATCTTTAAGGTTTCATAAAGAATATTCCACAAAAGTATAAACCCATAGATCAGTAATTTCTCTATTTGGGATATCTTTTTCATATAAGTTCTTAGCTAAAATTTATTTCATTTTACATTGTAATCACTTTCATTTGAGTCAGTCTCAAAGACAGTAAACAGCTGCAGAGAAAAGACTGTGCCCTATTGCTTGGCACTCCCATTCCCTATGCCAGGCCCTTAACGTAATAACTTCAGGAGAAAGAGAAATTAGTTGCACGCATGGCAATTACTTTGTATTCTTGAAGACTACTCAGCCGGGATACAGAGTTTATTACTTTATTGGTGTACCTTAGTGATAAATAATCACTTTTGAAGAGAGGGAGATTGCAACTAATGTATTCCTTGAACATACGCTTATTGAGTGAGGCAGTGTGCTCAGGATCCTGTAGAATATAAATAGGTATGCCACAGTCCCTGTCCTCCAGGACCTCAAAACCTCGCAAGTGAGATGAGAAGACACAACACAGTATGTGATGAATTACAAAAAAAGAAAAGTATTTGAGCGTATTTCAGAAAAGGCTAAGTTTATTTTATCTGGAGGGATGCATGTCAAAGAAGATCTAAAGATGGGACATTCCTGCTGGACGTTGGAGAATGGGTGGGATTCCATAAGTAAAGGTAAGCAGGGCGCCTTTGCATGGTATGGCAGGAATGGTCTTTGCAGCGTCCTGGGGATATGAAAATGAAAAGCACAAGTAGACTTGGTCTGTGTGACTCACTACTTGAGACCCATTGCAAAAAAAAAAAAAAAAATTCCTGGAATACAGTAGGTTCTCAATAAATACTGAGGCACAGTAATGTAGGAAAGGTAGTCCCAAGATTTTTTGAGTTGCAAAGAGTGGAACTAGGTTTTTTTACTCCAGTGAGAAGGTAATAAAGAGTCAAAAAATATGGAAATGCACAGAAAAACATAAGTCCTAGATAAAATTATTAATGATGTACCTGCTTCACTCATTAAGCAACTACTGCATGCCATATTTACATTATTGTAAAAAATAATAAAACACCACACTATTTTTATTTGTCAGATTAGAAAATTGAGGCTTAAATAATTGGGTAATTTACCCAAATTAACACAGATAGTAAGTTATGGAGCCAGGATTAGAATTCTACTAATATCTAACTCCAAAACCAGTAATCTTAATGAATTTGGATTATTTTTTGTGACCCCAAGTCAAAATACTTACATGATACTCTCCTTGAACATAGCAAAAACTTAGAAAAAGAAAATTCTTAGAGTTACTCGGAGCTTGCTATCAGTAGATGTTCCCAGGAGATGATAAAGGCAAATCTAATTCAATGAGACACAGTTGAAATAGCTGAGCAATATGTCCAGGATTGTCAATGGGATAGAAGACATACATTGGCTAGCATAATAGAAAGTCTTGGTGGTCTAGGAGACATAAAGCTAGTTTAGAGCAGCTTCGGTGAAAACAAAGGGCAAGCAAAGTTTTCGAAGGTGATAAGTTATATCAGATACTGTGTGTGGATGTGGCGGCTGTGAATATACACTGCTCAGATTTCTTTGGCATTCGCCATCCTAAAGGCTTCACTTTCCTCAGTCTAATCCCAGCCAATGACTGAGCACGGCAGTGGAACCAGGTGAATAGGGGACTCCTCTAATGGAAAACTCTGGCTTCAGGACTCCCCATTGGCCTGGATGGATGTTTCTTCCAATTGGGCTGCCGTCTGAAACTCTTTAAACCCAATGCTTCTTCCTTCCCTCTCTGTTAGCATAGGCTGTGAATGTCCTGTTCACAGTGATCTCAAGGCAGCTCTCCCTACCTTCATGGCCCCTTTCTCAAATAAATACCTTACACACCATAGCGACTTCTTCTCAGAAGACCTGACCCAGTAGGGTAACTCTAAATGCTGAGTTCCAAACAAGTATAAATTATTGTTCCCTTAGCTGGTATATTCCACTTTACAGATGTGTTTGCCATTATCCAGGGTATGACCAGGTAAAGAAAACTATATCATTATATTCAGTTTACATATGGGAAAGACTGAGGTAAAGTAATGTGTTGAAAATTACACAGGTGTAGTAGTTACTGGAACATTTTTCCCGATTTGCATCCATGCATTCGGTTGTTGAGATATTTGTTAGCATAGAAACCTCTGAGGTAAGACTTTATTGTTACTTTCTAAGTAAAGAATTTAGTCTATTGATTCTAAATCAAAGTACTTTTAAAATGTAAATTTCTAAATAATGTGTCTGCATTAAATGTGGGCATGTGTTGAGTGCATTCAAGTTCTAACATGATTTGTTACTGAATAATGGCTTTTAGTCTGGAATAAAAGTATATCTTAAATCCTCCATGGTTTTTCCAAGACATGATTTTGTTGCAATAGTTCTGTAGTTATATTTAGGATCTGAGTAAAAGAAAAAAGAAAATATCTAATCCTGACTATTGCTTACACACAAATTGATTAACAAAAAGAAAGGCAGAGAAAGAGAGAGAAGGAGTTTTGTAAAAAGGGAAAGAAACTT